GACATGGAACGCTTTTGCTTCTGCTGTGGAGGGCAAGCACCTGGGGCAGTGAGATGTTGCTCCCACTGAAACCAGCTGCTGCCATAAAAGCCAGCTTTCCAAATGGAGCCTCTCTCTCTTCCCCCCCCCAAAGGGCAGCACAAGGAGAGGTGGAGAGCAGCAGCTGAAGTGGTGGGTGGAGCACAGCTAACTCCTCGTGGAATGCTCCCCTCCCACCTCCTCTGCAGCGACTCATGAGCCAGTCTTTAGATGGGTTGCCAGGTGAGGACTTCCCTGTCTGTTCCCTCACCTCCCTATGCCTCCTGCAGCATCCCTCGCACAACCTCCCCCAGTTACCCCTTCACATGCGATGGGAGGAGCTGTTACATGTGCTTTTGCTGAGTCACAGAGCTCCCAGCCTGCTGTAAGCAGAGTGGGTCAAAGCTGCGCTCAGTTAACAGCTTTCTCCCCACCTTCTCCAAACCTAACCAAGAACATTGAAGGGCCTTGAGGAGTAGGGAGTGGTTGTTGGCAGAAGGAGATCCTCTCAGTTCTGCTCTGCCTACTGCTGCTGCAGCTGGGGAGTGGGAAGAAACCTAGGCAGAGGAACACCGCTCCTTTCTACCTTCCCCCAAACAGAGCAGGGGCCCTGGAGGAGGAAGAGAGACAGAACTGCAGGATTCTTAGGACAATTCCCAGTCCTATCCCTCTTTCAGCAACCCCTCCCTCTCAGCTACTCCCTTCCTTCTGATTCCCCATTCTGGTGCAGGAAGGAGGAGTTTACTGGTGGGAGTTGGACTTCTGCCTCCAATCCAAGGGGCTGCAGCCTTGTCTAGACTAGAATTTAATGTGCTGATGTGTTTTGAAAGCATAGTGTAGACAAGCACATTGCCTGTAGCATGCTAAATTGGTTGAATTACAGCCAAGGTGAGTGCCCAATCCATTTTAGCTACCTCATGCAGCCATTACATGTTAAATACTAATTTAGACAAGTCCTAAAACTTTGGCTAGGGTGCCAGCCCTGCTGTCTGGGAGCTGCTACAGAACAGCCCCAGCTTCATTCTGCTGCTCCTGCCTCCATCCTTCCTTCAACCCTCTTTGCTAGCATTTGTAAAAGGAACAGCTGGCAGCAGAAGGGACTTCAAAATCCAGCTGCTGCTGCTTCTCCTGGAGCTGCTTCCCTCAGAATGATCCCTAACTAGGGAAGGGGCTCCAGGCTCCCCATCACCCAGGTGGGTGGCTGTGGCTGCTGAAGAGGGGGAGTCAATGGGGGGATCAGGGACACTCCCCCTTTCCTTGAGGTATATCCTAGCAGAGCTAAGGGGAAGATCCTGACTTTTCCCCCTTGGGGATCTTCTTAGCAACTGATGGAGAGCTTCACAGAAGAAGCCAAGTGCAGTGCACCAGTTTAGTCCTGTGCAAAACCTAGGAGCACCCCGGCACCTTCCTGTTAGCTATTTACATATAGGCCTGTATCACGTGTATTATAGCAGGGAGCAGTGGCCCCTTTGACACAAGTTGTCAAAGGAAAGTTGGAAAGGCAGCAGCAGGAACAGTTATGGTAACCATGAGCCTCAGGAGGAGCACAGCTCTTCTCCTGCTTTCTTAACCTTCACCTCGGGGGTCCTGGTCACCCTATGGCTGCTGCTCCCCCACCCTTCCACTGCTCTGCCTGCTTGAGAGGCCTAAGCCTTGGCCCTATTGAGCCCGATCAGCGCCATCTTGTTATGGGGGGGGAGGCAGTGAAGTCCTGCTGCCTAGACGTGGGAGTCCCAGTGGTAGGCCAGCTTGCTACACATGCACGTTGAGGCGCCCTCCCAGAGGACACCTGCTAGGGTGTGAGATGTCCACAGGCCCAGCTGGAGCCAGAAGGTGCCAGGCTTTGGCCCCTCAGGCAGAAGGAAAGATAATGGCCTTGCCCCTTGGATTAGGGGCCTCTGGAGGTGCCCTGAGGGAGGCTGTGCTGGTTCGGGGGGATGCTGTGGGGGAGGGTGGTGCTGGCTCAGGAAAGGGGGAAGGTACTGGCTCGGGGGTGGGGGTGGGGGGATGTTATGGGGGGGGCGGGCTGTGCAGGAAAAAGGCCTGGCAGTGGTAACACTGCGCCTAGGCACCACCAGCCCCTCCCCACAACCAGCCCCAGCAGAGCCAGCTCCTCTGCATCCCCCATGGTGTCCCCCAGAGCTAGCACATCCCTCCCCTTTACCACCTACTCCAGGGCCAGTCCCTCTCTCCCCCATGGCACCCCCAGAGCCAGCACCTCCTGCCCCCCCATGGTACCCCACCCCAATTGGCACTGGGAGGGATGTTGGCTCTGGAGGTGTGTGGGGGGAGGGAGGGGCTGGCTTGGGGGGGCAGGTGCTGTGGGGGAGGGAGGAGCTGGCTCTGGAGAGGGTGCCATGGGAGAAGGGAGGTGCTGGCTCCGGTGGGGGGGGGGGGGGTAATGGGTGGTGCGTGG